TTCATTCATTCACTCACTCACTCACTCACTCACTCATACATTCATTCATTCATTCACTTTGATTCCATATAAAAATCAGGGTTGCTTCTCTACGACAGTCCAGGTTACAAACGTTTTGGTCTATACAATCCTATATCTATCCATATTTCATCTCAATCACTCATTCGTTCATTCACTCACTCACTTACTCACTCACTCACCCACTCACTCACTCATACATTCATTCACTCATTTACTCACCCACTCACTCTCTCACTCACTCACACATACATTCATTCATTCATTCATTCATTTTTATTCCATATAAAAATCAGGGTTGCTTCTCTACGACAGAATCTCGTCTCCATGTCCAGCAGAGGTTTTGTTTACCTTGCGAAAACCAATATTTTGAAAAAACCAAAACGACCAGTCAGCCGGTTAGCCATTCAATAGAATATCATAAGGGTCAAGTACAGTAGGAAGATATTTGATATCAATTCTTTGGCTTATTATCTTCCTGCACGCGACAATCAAAGAGTTTTATCCAGAGAAAATATACCTAAAAACTACTAAGAGTTTAAGCAAATATCAACAAATAAATCCCAATGAGGTATCTACTATTAACAGTATAAAAATCAGCATTCAAGTCTTCATTAATTTGAAAACAGAAAGATAGTAAAAACTTAATGGAAACGATGTGAAAAGATAACGTTTGAAGTGTGCTTTATAATCACCATTGACCTGAAGGGACCAGCAGTCCTGGTGTGGTCTATTGTTATATGACAATAGGCTAATTTATCTAGCAAGTATTTGAGCTTACTGGGGCTGAAGGAACAGCAACATTCGGTCTAAATAAATAAATATGCTATACTATGATAGATGTTTTAAAAGTACAAAATAAATAAATAATACATCATAAATATATAATATATTGGCATCTTCAATTATWTACTTCTTTTGTTCCCGATTGCAGGAATCAGTGTTAAAAATAAGTTTTTTCCGTAAATATTTTCTATATTTTGAGCACAAATTTCGCACAAGTCATCGTATGGCTAAAATACATCAATATCAGTTAAAACCATTTGGTTCTAATTATAGTTAGACAAAAATGGTTCAAATTGTGGACCTTTAAAACAAAAATAATAATTCCTGTTTATATCGTCGTCTTTAAAGTTTTTCTAAAGGAAATCAGTCCAATTTTGGATAAATTAAAAGCAACAATATTTTTTGTAAAAAAGATAGTGACATTCGTGAGCGTTTTCGCTTCAAACTTATATTTGATTGTAGCAAACGGCAAATGAGAATTTTCTCGTGTTTAGAATTCATCAATATGAATGCCTGTAAGTAGCAAAGTCAGAAAAACTCGTGATTTGCCGTTTAAAGTTAATTAAATTGTAATTAAATAAAGTTCTGTTTATATAATTCCAGTTAAAAAGCAAGACGACTAATGAAAAATATGTTTAGAAATACGTACGGTACAGTACTGCTCCTTCGCTTTCTTTAAGCCTTCCAGATTTATTTCACCTTGTCTCAACATTTCCCATACTGTTTCTTCGACATAAAATAACTTCTCAAGAAGAATGCGGTGACTAATGCGGTAAATATCTAACGCTAGAGCCAATTGTACTCAATAGTAATACTCAAATAGTAAAATGGACGCCAAGTTCAAAGACACGCTGTTCAACCAAAGCCATCGGATTACGTTTGAGACATTTGATCCGTTTTTAGTATAATATTTTTTTAAATTGATATTTCAATAAGTATTTGTCGGTCAGTGTTTTGATACAGAGAATAGCGTGATTTTTCCACAGTGACAATGCGAATAGAAAAGAGATTCCTATGATGACATTTCTTTGAGTCGTACGAAATAGCTTGAAATTCTACTCAATGGTGAGATGCTTTGGCAACTGATTTCTGCATAACTTAACCATACCTTCAAGTCAATTGAAAGAAGTCTTACAGGTTTTCAAAATTATTTTTGTTAATCCTTTCGTAGTTTCGTCCCAATGGATATGAAGCTTTTAATGGAGCCAACTTGGTTTTGCTATAAAAATGCGTAATTAGATTCCAGCTTGATTTAGTGTTGTCTCGATTTTGATGACAGTTTTAAAAGGTTTTTTACTTCGATTTTGCGATAAAACTGCCACTTTTTTTTCAAGAAAGATAGATAAGCTGCATAATAAACATTGAAGAGCTCTGCAATCTGTTTCTTGTTTGCATTTCGCTTTTTGAATATTTTCCCAAGATATTTTAGTAGGGAGATTTGAACTCAGTTCAGAGGAAGTAACGACGTCCCAAATCCTATTACAAGCAAAGGATTAAGCTGAATTAAGCACGAAGGATAGATTATTACGCATACAGTCTATCAAAATAAACGCTGCCTCTGTACTGTTTTTTTATATTGAGACAATGATTTTGGAATGATATGGAAGATGCAAAAAATGGAAAAGTAAGGTGAAGAAAGCAAGAGAGAAATGTGAGCAATTAAAATGTCAGACATAGTTTGGGATTTTTTTACTTTTGATGTTGACTYCTTGATTCGTGGGAGCAGGGATTAATTAAGCTGCCTGTAAGCACTTAAAATGTCACAAAAACCCATTCAGCTTAGCTGTCTATGGTATTTTAAGGCCTTCCAACCAATTTACACATTTAATGAACTTTCAAGCTCAGTATCGTTGAATTAATACCTGACTGGTATGACTTTCTAAKCTATCAAGCTCTCCAATCATTTGACCTAGATCCTGAAGCACCCTGTTTAACTCTGTGACGTGGTTGTCCATCGTTGAATCCATTAGATTCCTCAGCTTTTAGTACTCAGCCGTTTTGCCCGAGGGCAGATAGGGTAGGTCCCAACAAGATGATCCTCTTCTGAATTGAGAAAATGACATCATTTACTTATTAAAATGAAATATTTATGACATTTATCAACATAAGCGGAGCAGGTAGGGCAGCTGAATGACAAAATAACCCGAAATGAATACGAAAACTACCCCCAACAGTGATTTCTGAACAAATAAAGAGAATGTTTGAAATTCAAACATGCTTTTTTGAACGGAGTTTTTGGAAAGCTGTTTTTTAAAATACCTGAATTTCCCTGTAAGCATAGTTAGGGGGGAATTTAAAGAATTAAAAAAATCATTGATTAATTTATTGATGATAATAAATAAATTAATTGTAATTTATTAATCATTTGTAATATTGTAATAAGCCTTTTCATAGTTTAAGAACCGATTCCACTGCGCATGCGATTTTATCCCGAATTTCTCACCTTCTTTTGTTTAATTAAGAACAAAAGAAGGTTTAGACAAAAGAAGGTAGAAATTCGGGATAAAATCGCATGCGCAGTGGAATCGATTCTTAAACTGTGAAAAGGCTTATTAATAGATTGTTTAATTAATTACCATTAATTAATGAAAGGGAAAAGGACCACTTCCAAGCCCCTCCAGACTTAGAGTGCTTATTCATGTATATTGTTTCAGAAAATTTCCATAATTCTTAGAAGGGATGGGAGGCTGCTTCTACTATTCTAACTACTATTCCACCAGAAAGTCCTTATCAAAAACATGTCCCCTTCACACTTTCCCCGCCCCAAGGGAGTTCAACTCCCTCTGCTAGGTGGAAGAGGTGTGATTTCTCTTTTGGACTGCACAATAGAATGTACAAATCTAAGTCAAAGGCTTGCTATCATTCAATTCAAAATCATGGTTTATCTTGACCTTGGTTTGTTTGGAGAGTATAACTTCTATTTTTCATAGCTGAGATCAGTGTCAGGCAGAGGCAAAGCATGTCATTTACGACATACTTTTCTTATAAATTCATCTTTAAAAAAATAAGAAGCAATTTAAAGGAGATTTTTGATATTTTATGCATGATAAGGGTTTGACAGTTAGATAAGACCAATAGTCATCCGATCAAAAGTCAGACAGACAGAGCTTTAACAAAGAGACAGATACAGATACATGGAGGGTTATTTTAGCAGAGGTCATAGAAGGTTGAAATTTGAAAAAAAGAAAGTTTAGGCTCAGCAATTTCTGGGTGAAGATTTTTTGCCTTGCTGTGAGTCTTGGGGTGGTGTGGCAAAATATCCAAAGATAACCATTGAACCATTCCAAAGATAACCATTGACCCAGGAAAATAATTGTTTTAGCACCATAATAGATAGGTGATTATCGAGCAAAAGCTTGATGTTCTTGACCAATCAGAACACACCATTTTCTATAATCACCTGGGTAACAGTACTCATGACCATTTTTATACTTCCACAAACAAGTCCTTCCTTCATTAAATTTTACTTGTAGTAAAATATTACGATTTTAGTCAAAACAAATATTGGTCAGCTCAACCTTATTTTTACCTTCAAAACATTAACTTCACTCTACAACACTGGCATACTACAAGGAGGGCTTCCCAGGTACTTCTTGAATCCTTACATTTTRAACATTTTCTAAATGTGTAGTCTATGATGCTGTCGACTGTCATAATTGGCATAAATAGAAAATCCTGAAGTAGTTAACTGCATATCTAATTAAAGGTATGCCTTGGGCTTGCAGTTGCATAGTCTTGAAGCCGGCAACCAATTTTAAACTGACTGTATATATCTTTCTTGTTGGGGCAATAGATGGAAGGTTTAAGGGTTAAAGCACTTGCCTCACTTCTGAGGCCTAAAGCTTCAAATCCTGCATGCAAAAACTCAATGAAAGTCTGTGATTCATGGTTTTTATCTGGTTTCTCCAATTTTTTTTCCTTCCACAAAACCAAATACTAAATTCTAGTTCCATTTAAGCAGAGGATATTTCATGATTTTATAAAACTGTTTATACTAGAACCTCCTATGCAAAACATGGATTATCATTAGCAATAAGTCTATACTCCAGGGACTGTGGAGAGGGGAGGGGGGACTATGGCCCTCCCACTTTTTTCTCTTTTCCYATACTAGTCTCTTATATTTTCCAATCTTGGACCACCCTTCCCCCTCCCCCCCCCTCCCCCACTTTTAGATTTGTCCATGGTCCTTGTAGTCTGACAAACAATTTTTACAGTCTTATTTGTGTCCAGGGTGGTCTCCAAGGTAAAAGCATCAGATATACTCTTCAGAAATTTAAAAAAATACTSATATGGGATACTGAAAGTATTTTTAAAAGGACAGGGTTGGATGTTTTTTAGCCCCTAAAAGACACCGACAAATAATRCCAAAGTCCTAAATTTCAATTTTATCACCCTAAAAGATGCCAAGAGATGCAACAAGCATACCTTATACCTGCCATGGTCTACACCCAGGCTTTGTGATGATGTTWTACTCACAATACTAAATATAATAATGTGCTGCATGTTTGTCTACRACCTCTCTCGCACTCTATATAGCTTCCTGTGTGTTCATACCGTATTTATATGTTCTTATTATATCAATCATAYTTTTATACACATGAAAATGCAAACAATTCACAAGAAACATTGTTTTACAAGCGAATTCCTATCTTTTCATGTAGGTATGTAAGTGATACATGGAAGTGTGTCTATAACCTTTTATATCTATTTTTACATTTGAGTYATTTATAGAAACACATTTTCTACTTCCAAATATAGGTACATAAATATTCTATAAATACACAGCTCAAAAGATTCAAGATAGATGGGCTGATAGAACGCAGTCGTCACCGTAAAATCTTGAAGAAACCATACATTCATGATAGATGTACAACAAATTATTTTAAAGCACTTGGTTGTCAATAATTAATCACTAAGTGGTGAAGCAATTTCCGTAAGCTATATCATCTTAAATTTAAAGTCATTTAAAACTAATATTAGTGCATTGAAACCACAGTTAAAATTTATAATAGCATTTTTTTAAATAACCATGAATATAAGGTTAAAGGAAGGCAATAAAAATTCTTGATTCATGTGAAGCTTCATACTCAAGCTGTCAAAAAAAACGACTGCAAGAAAGCACAACAACCTCTGCATTGAATTCGCTAAATGATTTTGATTTTCTGAATGAGAATTGATCATATACTCCCTCGTATCAAATCTTAGCTAATATTTCTGATAAAACAAAGATAAATAAGAGAAAAAAGTGTATTATTTATACAAGGCATCGCCCCCAAAGTAGCTTACACCAACATCGATCTGTAGTAGTGTATGTACAGTGGTGTATGACTAATTTATTCTAGCAAAGATTAATAAGGCGTTAAATTCAACTACTTACCATTTATCTCTACATATTCATTCCGCAATAAGGAGGATTGTTAGTTGTTTCAGCCCAACAATCTGACAGGCATTGCTATYCAAACAACAGTATCGACCTGACGATGTAATGATCGTCTACTACTGGTGCACGACGGTCTGACAGTGATCTAGGAAAACTAGACTTGGAATATAGAATTGAGGATTACTCGGAACTAAACTTTTGAAATATAAATGTTGCATGTTTTTTTTCCATTTCAAATTCCRGGAATAGAACTTTAGCGTAACTGAAGATTGAGAAGTTATCAGAATTGATATTGAGCCACTGGCCAATCTTTTCTTTTTCTATTTTCATTTAAATAATTGGAGAGAGGATTGAGGATTCCTCGGAATCAATACAATTAATTTACTGATTCCTTACGTCAAGAATGCTGTTTAAAACTCTTTGTTTGAGCGACATTTATATTAGTATCTTCTCGATCAGTAATACTCAATAGAATTACACTTGGCTTGAAATGGGATTCACGCTTGCAAATGGAAAAATGTCTCTTTAAAATCAACGGAACAACGGGACAAGATATACATTGTGTCAGGGTGGACCAAATTTTACTTCCTCACCCCCTACCCTCCCCCGTTACTTGTAAAAAATGATCCATATCACGAGTACATTTTCCTGGAAAGGCATTGATTTTAATCTATTCTTTTCTCTTCTGTTTTCCTGTTTTACGTTCTTTAGTCAAAGTACCCTTTAATGAATCCCATAATGCCTTATATCGGGCATTTCACGTCAAATTTATTTATTAAAAAAWTTTTTTAATGAAATTGATCAAAAGATTAAATTTGATGACAGACGCGGAAAATGAAGCATTGTCGGATTTCTTAAAGGCCTGTATGAAGTCCTGCCGCTGTGATGATACTTCTGGAAGGGACAAGTGTCTTCTTTTTCCAAGAGGACACTAGGTATATTCTGGTGTCATCAAAAATGGAATTMAGAAAAATATACGTGAAAAAGAAATGAAAGATCAATATGAGAAAACAGAAATTATAAGGGATCTTCTTAATGGCCAGGTGTAATTTGCACGTTGATCGTTCCACTCTTTGCAATATTCTCGATGATGATCCTATTCTTGGAAGGATTGGACCATTTGGCAGATCCTTCAGGACTGATGGACACCAAGAAACCCCCACCAACTGACATGTACTGATCGTGATTAAAGTAGATCTCTGTCTTGTTGGATGTACACTCGCTGCTGACCACATAACTCAAGTGAAACTCTTTAGTAGTTGGATCAAAGCTGAAACTCTCTGCGTGCCCTGCTACTGCCTGAGGGTAGGTACGGGATGTATTCTGCGCGTAGATAGGTCCATCTTCAGTCCACAGACTTGGTCTCTTGTTAGGAACAGTTCGATTGGGTGRATAGTATGGCTTGTAATCCCATCCAAGCCAAGATTGCAGGTGTTTATCTGCAATGGACATTGTCTTCAAAGAAGCTTCTAAATCTCCATAAGATGCTTGGAATTCCGTCAACATTCCTCCACACTTCAATCTCTTCAAGTCATGTTCTCGCACTAGGAAGTTGATTTCCCCAGGTCCTGATGGTAAGTTATAATAGTGATAGCTAAGAACGCTTCTGTTTTTATACTCTGGGCCACCGGGTACTTCTTCGAATCCTACTCCATAATCATCCCACGTCACTGGTTCAAAAAATATACAATGTCTGTCATCCTTGGCGCGAATGGCTTTACTCAAAACCTCATAAGCGGGTGCTAAGTTCATTCGGTCTGCAACCCTAGGTATCATCAAAAGTGGGTCAGCATAGATGTCTCCTGACCATGGCTCGTTAATCAGTTCGTAGCCTATAACACTCGGATAGTCTCGAAAAGTTTCAGCTCCTTTGGCCCAGAAAGCTGCCCAACTGTCACGCAATCCATCGGTATTGTTGTACAAGTTCTGGAATGCAGCACTTGCAGCTTCTGACATGTAATACGATGCCCAGGAGAACTTTGCACAATCYTCATCGGTTGGATAGTTAGTTTTAGGGTCCAAAGCAAACGGAGCATGCAGTGGTTCTGGAAAGTTCTTTGCATTTCCTGGATTGGCAGCCCAGTCTGGAAAACCCTCYACACAGAACTTCCTCGACATAACATCCTGGTGCATGTCTAGTAAGATGTAGATGCCGTACTTTGCTGACATATTCACCATCTTCTCTACAATCTGAAGATACGTTTTATTGTAATGACCTCGTGTAGGTTCAACACCTGGCCACATGAAGCCTAAACGAACCACGTTCAGTCCAAGCGACTGCATCAGCTCCATGTCTTGTTCAGAAAACGTATCTGGTGCAAATYCTTCCAGCTTTGGATGCCAAGGGAAGTGTTTGACAACTATGTTAGTGCCGTGAAAGAACCTTTCTCTGCCTTGTTCGTCCAAGAATCGTTGAGTAGAAGGGTTGACACTGATGAACTGCATTTCATCCATGCAGTTTACAGCACAGAAAAGACC